TTTTTTTAAAAAAAAAAAAAAAAAAAAAAAAAAGAAAGGAAGTTAAGCATGTTAAGCTTTTGAGTTATTTCCAGCTCCAAAATCCCATTGAAGACTAGTGTAAGCCTTAGGGCAAATTCAGCAAATTATGGTCCAGTGAGGGATTCAGAGTACCAGTGGAGGTGACAGCTAAGGGATGATGACCTAAGTATGTAGATTTGGGGAGAAAGGAGAGTAGAGATTAAAAAAAAAGGAGGGATTGTTGAAAATCTGGCAAAAACTTGTAATTTAATGAGAGATCTTGTTGCTTTTATAATCTATATGAGCCAGGCTTTTGGGTCCCTAAATGCCTTGGCAGTAGTGCTGTTTTGATAGTCTTTGGAAACTCTGGGATGAGAGATCTATGTTGTCTGTCACTCTGAGTTTTTGGCCAATTAAGTAAAACCATGGGTTGAAGAAGAGTAATAATGACTGTAGCTGGTGTCAGTTGGCTAGAAGGGCCTTACTTAAGCTAAGACAGTGGAGACCTGCTGTGTCAACAGTCTTCATCCTAAAATAGTGTTGGGTCTTTTTTTTTTTTCTTTTTGTCTTTTTTCGTGGCCGGCAACGGATCGCAACCCTCAGTGTCGCGCCCGTACCGGACCGGGACCGGCAACGGGATCGCAACCCTCGGTGTTGCTCCCGCACCTCGCTCAGCCAGTGAGCGGCTGGTCTGTATGTGGGATCCGAACCCTTGGCAGGAGCGCCACCGCACTTCCCAAGCAGCGCACTGTAGCAGTGCGCCACCGGGCCGGCCCCGTGTTTGGTCTTAAGTAATGATCACTTCTCCTTTTTGCTAGACTGGCCCTGGGAAGTCCTTGTACCCTTCTTCCATCTTAGACCAGCTGTCCTCTACTTTGTCCTTGGAGTGAAGGACAGGTGTTCGTGAGGGAACACTTTGGCACTGGGACTGGAAAGGTTTGGCAAAGGCGTTAAATTTAATAGCCAGTGCCAAGAAGATGCAGAATAGGGTCAATGACATACAGATGTTGGAGGCACAGAAATAGGGGACTTCTTTACTTTTTTGGTGGCTTCTTACCATGTAGGTGATTGAAGGGGGAGGAGGGGTGTGGCAGAGCATCTTGTTTGTTGTTCTGCCCTAAATTTCTACTTACCATCTTACTTTGTTTTTATTCTCTGTCTGCCAATTACTCCCACATCTTCAGTTTTCAAACTATATTTTTACTTTTGCTTACATATAAAGTCTTAGACAAGGATAGTGTCTACTTTGGTTTTTCATATTTTTTCTTCCCCATCTTCTCCAAACACACATACACATACTCTACTAAACAAATCTACTTCTAATTTTGAAGTTGCTAGCTGTGCATGCTCAGTATGAAAGATGAGTGGGTAAGGGTGAGGGACTGGTTCTTTGAGGTTCTGCCCTTTTGCTGTGATTAAGACCAACTTTCTCTTGGTCATTTCTGGAGTATAACTGACTCAATTCTTATAGAAATGTGTTATATCCCAAACCCCTGTCATGTTCTTTTCTCTGTTCTGTTTCCCCCAACCTTCCTTCTCGTTATGGCTTATCAGAGGCAGCCATAGCAGATGGAGAAAATCCAGATCAATAAAAGCTTTAACAAACAATATTTATTTTCCAAATTTCCTTTACTACCACCCCATAATTACCCTCTTTCACATTCCTGACTGGGGATCTTTACTTTACTTAGTCTCTAACAGGTTTTCTCATTGTGGCTCCTTGGTTCCTTCTGAAGTTCCAGGTTTGCATTTCTGGATCTCAGCTACATTAGGACCTGCCCAGTGATCTAGCATGCATAGGTTTCCAGGTGGGTTCTTCGGAGAGTTGGCTGGGCTTTGGGGACCTGGAGTATGACCTGCAGAGGGATGTGGACTTTGGAGTTGATCTGGGGAATTGAGGTTAATAGCTGGGGAGGTTGGAATTACAATTGGACTTGGTGCTTGTTGTACAGTTTTTGTGGTAGACTTCTTAGGTTTCTTCTGACTGTCTGGATCATTGGGCTGTCAGGGGTGGAGTGAGAGAAACAATTATGTTTCTGGTAAGGCCCACATCTTTCCCAACCCACCTCAGAATTCTAACTCCCTTTCTCCCCATACCATGGTCAAAAGGTCAGGTTTCAAACAAGAGTTAAATTTGATACCCCTGGGCCGGCCCGTGGCTCACTCGGGAGAGTGCGGTGCTGATAACACCAAGGCCCCGGGTTCGGATCCCATATAGGGATGGCCGGTTTGCTCACTGGCTGAGCGTGGTGCTGACAACACCAAGTCAAGGGTTAAGATCCCCTCACCGGTCATCTTTTTAAAAAAAATAAAAAATAAAAAAATAAATTTGATACCCCTAACTCCCCTTGAGATTAGATCATTTTCTACTAAGGGGGCGGGGGGTCAGGTAAGATGTCCCTATTAACTTATCCCTTTAGGCCTCAAAAGGTGATTAGGGACTAGACATGATATGACAGAGTTGGTTAGAGGTTCCCCCTGCTGGGATAGTGGTGTATAACAATAGGATTTTTTTTGAGGTTGAAAATAAATGGAGAAAAGAGGGTTTGAGGTTAAATGGGAAGAATAGTTACCTTGCCTAAGATTTCAGGACGCAGCCCGTTGGAGGCCTTCAGTAAATCAGGATTTTTCTGTATCCATTTGGTAAGGGAGGCAGCACCAGCAGTTGTACGGGAGGTCAGGGTCACCCGAGCAGGAGGTATCTTCAGAGGCATTTGCCAGGTGCCCATGAAGGAACCCCAAGGATTTTCCTAAAAGGAAAAGGTTATTCCTCAGCAGGGCTTTTCACCCCAGTAACTGACCTATTGACAGGACCTCTGTTCATCTTATTTCCATTCTTTACCTTTGGGAATGCATGGTAATGAAACAAAACTAAAAGCATAATCTCCCCACTCTTCCTTTTCTCCATCCCTCCTTTAGGTTACCTTAATTTTTTTTTATCCCCTTCACTTTACCAACTTAAATTCTGCATTTTTAGGCTAAATGTGGCAAAGGAGTACCTACTACATAAGTATCATCATCTGAAGGTATTCTTTTAAACTGATCATTCATCAGTTTAAGGATTTCTGGGGCTGCATACAATTCTGTCCTGTTGGATAAGCTGACTGGAAGTTTGGCGGCATACACATTACAAAGTGAAGACTGAACTTTAATTTTTGAGATAGTGCCTGTGGGAGATTGCAAATCTCCCAGTGCTATGCCTCCCTCAATTCTTTACCTCTTGATAGAAATAGAGATGGGGGGGCCAGCCCATGGCTCATTTGGGAGAGTGTGGTGCTGATAAACACCAAGGCCATGGGTTCGGATCCCATACAGAGACGGCCGGTTCACTCACTTTGGAGAGTGTGGTGCTGACAACACCAACTCAAGGGTTAAGATCCCCTTACCAGTCATCTTTAAAAAAAAAAAAAAAGAAATAGAGGTGGGTATCTCACCTTGGAACGGGGCACTGAAGGCAATAGGTGACCACGATCATTGGCGATAATCTGAGTGTAGCCTTCATGGGAAGAGATACTCTGGGGTAGAGGTGGAAGAGAGAAGTACTTGTGAGTGCAAAAGAGGGAGGAAGTATCTGAGGGGCTTGAATTTAAGCGTGTGGGGAGAGGAGGATATGGAAGTTTAGAGAAGGCTAAAAGGAGTTAGGTGACCAGGAATCACAAAGAATGTGACATAAAGAACTAGTGGCCTTGTAGGTGCACTGAAATGGAATACCTCTTTTGTTGCCTTGGCGGGAGACCAGTTCTGCAGATATTTGGGTGAGAAAGCTTTTTCATACTGTGGAGAGAAAGATAAGAATCTCTGTGAGGCTCAAAGGCTCAAAGGCTCCAAGCCCAGGAAATGATGACAAGGCATAGTTCTTTAGATTTGAAGATGAAGACCTGAACAAACATGTAGGCTTTAGCTTAGGTTAATTTAACAAGGGCGTAATTTGTTTAGATGTGTGTTGTCCAACATGGAGCCAGTAGCCACATGTAGCTGTTGAGCACTTGACATGTGACTAGTCCAAACTGAAGTGCTTTGTAAGTATAAAATATGCTGAATTTTGAAGACTTAGTACCAAAAAAGAGTATGTAAACTATCTGATTATAATTTTTAAAATACTACTTAAGTGTTGAAATAATATTCTGAATTTATTGGGTTAAACTAAATATATTATTAAAATTAATTAAAATTTTTTGATCGTGAAGCTACTAGAAAATTTTAAATTACATTTTGTGGCTCACATCCTTTTTATTGGGCATCACTGGTCTAGATCAGGGGTTGGTAAATAGTGACCCATGGGCCAAATCCATATTGGTGTTTTTGGATGGCCTGAGAGCTAAGAATGGTTTTTATAAATGAACTTTCACAATTGATTTGATAAAAGGGAATACTAACTTTGAATCCCAATTAAGTGAAAATTTTCCTCACCCCAAAAGAATTCCATTCTTTTCATTAACAGTACAAAAAATTTCACTCAGTATATTTTGAATTTTGTCAAGAATTTTTTTTTTTTTTAAAAGATGACCGGTAAGGGGATTTGTCTTGGTGTTGTCAGCACCACGCTCAGCCAGTGAGCGAACCGGCCATCCCTATATGGGATCCGAACCCGGGGCCTTGGTGTTATCAGCACCGCACTCTACCGAGTGAGCCACGGGCCGGCCCAAATTTTGTCAAGAATTTAATGGAAAAATGTTTTCTTTCATTATGTAAGTATATTGCATATTATGTTATTTATATATATTACTAATATCTTACATAAGATGTATTACATAATATCTTTGACTTTACCACTTGGCCTGCATAGCCTAAAATATTACTCTGTCCCTTTACAGAAAAAAACTGGTAACCTCTGGTTTATATTCTACAAATTTAACCCAGTGATACCTTTTGCTTATCCCTGAGCCCTCTCTATCCTGAGGAAGTGAAGTACTATCTCATCCCACTCTCTGCTATCTGTTCTGTGGTCAGAATCCTATGGGAGAGGTCAGTACAAAGATAGAATCTGGAAGTCAAAATTAAATGTTAGGGAGATGAAGAAAGAGACTTACCTGGTTGGCACTGTAGTTAGTGGCCATGATCCTGTGCTGTTTATGCTCGTTGCCTGGCAACCACAGAAGGCAGCCCTCGTGGGACTACCTCCCAATCAGCAGAGGCTGCCTCTCCCTTATTCATTTCCTTGGCTCACACTGCCCCCATCCTCTCCCTCTTAAACTTAGGTTCATTTTCTTTTCTTTTTTTTTTTTCTTAATTGGTACATTTATTAAAGATATAGACTAACGGTCCTGTGCTTAAATGTCATTGTGGTTGTATGCTGACTTTCATAAAACAACTGATTGTAAGGAACTCTTCACAAATACACTCCGGACAGAAGTAAATAGGTAAACAGAAATGACTGACAAGGCAGTGCCATTTCAGACATAACTCCCTTATAATTAACTTGCTAGAAAATGGAATTTGACATTATTTTAAAATTACGCTGACATTCAGAGGCTGAATATCACAGGCATAAGGGCACACTATGAGTACAAGCCATCTTTTCATACTTCCTAAATAGTTTTATATTTTAGCTGTGAAGGTCAGTTACCAGAGCCAAACTTATAGTCCTCATTCAACATGGGTGCATAGGAGCTATATGGCATTAAGCACCTGGCTTCCTTTCACTAAATTTCTGTTGTCTCATTTCTATTGTGGAGATAATAGAGCCTGCCTTTACAGGGTAAGTGAGATAAAGTGAATAAGGTGTCTAGACAATGTCATAGCCTAGTAGGTACTCAGTACTCATGAGATCCTGCTTATAGGGCCCATTACTTCATTTTCTTAGGCAGAATAACAAAGAAACAATGTTTAAGAAGTGACTAGCTCAAATCTGTCCCCAGAAGGAACCTCCTTGGTCCTTAATTGACTTCGGTCTACTCCATCACACTGTAGAATCACGGCGCCTAAGAACACAGGTGCTTAGTGTTGACTGGGATGAGGAGCTAGTGCAGGCAGGTTGAGCAGCGATAATGAAAGTCATAGCATGGAAAGCACCTAGTTTGGAGAATTAAGTGGTGGTGCCAAGACAGAAGCCTAATATTTGTGAGACTAGGCAGCCCCTCTGAGACTCACCTAAAACGGTATTATGTCCATCTACTAGGTTGTTAGGAGAATTAATGGGAAAATGGAACTGTGCTTTGTGAATTGTAAAGTCTTTATATATAAGGTGTCAAGATAAAAGGTAAAAAGCTAATAAATAGTTGTTTGAGTAAATGGATAATTGAGACCAGGAGAGCAGTGTAAGGGATAATTGTCAGTCCCTTCTTTCCCGCTTCCCCCAGAGTCCTCATCCCAACCAACACACCAAGCATAAGAATACTCCTATGCTTCCAGAGATGGAAATTAAAACCAGCGCTTGGCTCTGGCAGTTGTCAAAGGATAAAATTACAACTAATGTAGTTCAAAGATCTCAGTTGGCTTTATTTGTGATTCTAGAGTCAGGCAACCTTAATTCCATAAAATAAAATGAGTGTTCCGAAGACCCAAGCAGAGGAGGTTGGTTTTATAGACAGAAAAGGAATGAAAGAAACAAAAATCAGATTGGTCATTTCAAAGTTACTTCCCTCATAAGATGAGACCAGGTAAACAGAATAATAGAGAAAAACTGGTTAAAATCAGATTACTTTTTGTTGTAAAGATTAAAGGCAGAGGGAACTTCATTATCATGCTGGTTGAAACTGGTCTGTTTGAGAAATTAGGCTGTTCTCCTGATTTTTCGGAATATCAGATAACTCAGATTTAGTTTCATTTAGTGACCTCAGCACAAATGAATGCTTTGATTATTAGCCTGGGATGTTGGGGCCTAGTTCAGGAGCTTAGTCCAAAACTATGGCCTCCTATAGTTTTTATTTAATACAGTTAACAGCTGGGTAACGTGAGATCTGGAAGGAGGACTCATGTGCTTAGTCCCTGTGCTTCTCATTACACCCTAGAGTGGTGGAAGAGATAGGAGTTATTTAAGAACCAAGGACTATCTTTGCTCTAGGATATCCATCTTGGCCCTGAAAGCCACAATGATAGTTCAGCAAGCATCATTTTTCTTGGAATTTCTGTCTTCAGCTGGTATGTTTCCTTCTGCTTTTCTGATAGGGATGCAATGATATGTGATAACTGTGCTCTTATTTAAAAACATAGTTTTTTTTGGGCCAGCCTGTGGCTCACTCGGGAGAGTGCGGTGCTGATAACACCAAGGCCACGGGTTCGGATCCCATATAGGGATGGCTGGTTTGCTCACTGTGTGAGCGTGGTGCTGTCAACACCAAGTCAAGGGTTAAGATCCCCTTACTGGTCATCTTTAAAAAAAAAAAATAAAAAACATAGTTTTTGTTTAATTGAAAAAGCAATGTACTACAACAACAAAAATAATAATAAAAAAAGAAAAAAAGCAATGTATTTGTACATGGAAAAAGTTCCATGTTTACACAAGAACATTCAATAACAAGCAAATCTCCATCTTCAACTCCCGGTCTTGTTCCTCAGAGGCAGCTACTGTTACTATACTCTTGTGTCTTCCAGAAATATTCTATGCATTCAAACATTAATGAAAGCAGGCTGTCCATATTACTTTGTGATTTGCTTTTTTGAATATCTTGGGGATTTTCTCATGACAGTGTAGTATTCTATTTTGTGATACATCATAATTTATTTAATTCAGACTCATGGGAAACCATTTAGGTTATTTTCAGTCTTTTGCTATTATAGACATTGTTGCAATGAAAACTTATGTATACATATGTATCTTTATGAACATATGTGATCTGTAGGATAAATTTCTAAAAGTTCATTGCAAAGTCATAGAGATTGTGCATTTAAAATGTTAGTAGATATGTCAAATTACCACTCAAAGATATTGCAGCAGTTTGCATATCTCCTAACAGAATATGAAGGCTAAGTTTTCTACTTTCTTTCCAACACTTAATTATCAGTGTTTTTCCTATTTTTGTCAATCAGATAATAAGAACTAAAGTTAATTGAGTAGTTACTCTATAAATCCCAAGCATAGTTCCTTTTTTTTTGTTTTTTTCTTTGCGCTGGCCTGCACGGGGATCCAAACCTGTGACCTTGGTGTTATAAGGCTGCACTCTACCAACTGAGCTAACCGGCCAGGTCTATATTTGCATTTTTAAAATTAGAGTGTTTTCATATGTATATAAACCTTTTTTATTACTTTTATTATTTTTTACTCTGAAAATGACCTCACATATCTTTCACCATTTGCTGTGGAGCTGTTGGTTATTTTTATCAATTTGTATGAACTCTTTATGTATTAAGAAAATTAGCCCTTTGTCAAATATGTTACAAACATTTCCTACAATTTATCTGTCATTTAATTTTGATTTGTTTGTGGCTTTTTTTTTTTTTTTCACCAAGTCAAGGGTTAAGATCCCCTTACCGGTCATCTTTTTAAAAAAAAAATAAAAAAAATAAAAAAATAAAAACATAGTTTTTGTTTAATTGAAAAAGCAATGTACTACAACAACAAAAATAATAATAAAAAAAAAGAGTTTTTTTTTTTTTTTTTTTTTTTTTGCCGTGGACATGTTTTTAATATTTATGTAGTCAAATTTATTGCTCTTTCTGTGCTTCTGAATCTTATGTTATGCTTTGAATGGCTTTTTGTAAATTCCAATTTTTTTAAAAAAAAATTCACCCATGGTTACGGTTTTTACATTTAAATTTTTGTTCCTGGGGCTGGCCTGTGACTCACTTGGGAGAGTGTGATGCTGACAACACCAAGTAAAGGGTTAAGATCCCCTTACCGGTCATCTTTAAAAAAATAATAAATAAATAAATAAATAAATTTTTGTTCCTGTTGGAATTTATTTTAAGGAATAGACTGAGGTCAGGCTCCAGATACCTAACTAGTTGTCTTGTCATCATTTATTGAATAAGCCATCTTTTCCCCACTGATTTGAAATTTCCCTACTGATTTGAAATGCCACTTTTATCATATTTGGGTCTGTTTCTGTATCCTCTAACCAATTGTTCTGGGGAGAGGGGTGCCCATTTTAGGTTATTTGTCTCTATTTAATCTAAAATCCAAAGAGCAATCCTGGCTTGGTTCTTTGAATTCTTCCAGTTAAAATTTCACGAACTCTAGGAAATTGTAATAATAACAGGCAATTTCAAGCTTCTAATAAAATTGTTTTGAATTTTAGCCTTTCTTCAGATGGACTGGTTGACTTGAGGTCTTGCTGATGGTCTTTCACTAGGACCAGATTGAACCCTTCCAAAGTTGGAAAGGCTCTTAAAGTCCCCACTCCCAAAATACACTATTTTTGTCATTTACTTAAGTTCTCTGATGCCTGAAATGAGACCAATAGGAAATCTTTTATTTAGATTGAGATTATCTGCTATTGAAGTACAAGTTGACTTTGGCTGTGTAGGTAATGTATAAACTGGGCCTAAGTGAGGACAACCATAAGCATGGGTGCTGGAGTCAAATTGCCTGGGTTATATTCTGTAGGTAATTTCTAAATGCAATTGAATATTGAGGTTACTACAGAAATTAGCAATTAAAATATGGCTGGTTGATATAACAGATTATATTGATACTCAGTTAAAAATTTGAGAGTATCAATTCTGTACAGAATTGGTTTTGCTATTTTGATCCTGCATGGCAACAAAAATGTAATGAGAATAGACTATGAGTGAGCTGTGTTAAATATTCATATTATATATGAATATATTTTGTCTCTTGTGCTGTTGTTATTTAATAATTACCTGAAAAAGGAATATATTTTTACCAATACATTTCATTAAAAATGTAAAAGGACTAACAAAAAACACATACAAAAGTTAATAAAGTATATGTTACTCAGAAAAAAAAAAAATCTAGCTCTGCCAAAATGCGAGACCTTGGACAAGTTCATTTTTCTAGGTCTCAGTGCCCATGTGAAATGGGGATAATCTTAGTTTTGAGCATTAAATATATGTAACATGCCTAGTAAGGTGCCCGAAGCATAGTGAGTGCTCAATAATTTTAGATTATTACTGTCTTAAGACTGTCTGGTAAGAAGTACCTATTCAGGTTACCTTAAATTTTAAGGTTACCTTAGAAGTACTTCACTGAAGTACTT